AGTCTAGATTAAATAATAGGGTACTTTTTATCCCGGAAAAATTTGATATTCTCGAGGGAAAACGAAATTACATCAATTACAAACGTATAGATAGCGCTGTGTGTATGTGATATTGATATGTCATATAAGCTACTTTTTATCCTTTTGTGACGCGAGCGAAGCCGCTGGTAAAAGCTAGTCAATAAATAAATCACCTTATCATTTTGCAATAGAATACAGTTATTATAAATTTTCCGACCTCTGAATTCTGAATTTATAATAACACATAACTAAAGAGAATTTTTAGTTTACTAGTCTAGCGGCTATCAAAATATAAAACAGTATGGTAAGCTACTACATTCCCAAATATTATGCACAGCGGCTCTAACATTGTCTAACTATGTTAAGTTCATTGAATGAATGCAAGATATTATAGATGACATAATTACAATCTTGTTTAGTCATTACTGTATACAAATTAATTTAAAAAAATGTTTTTAACACAATTGACTTTTTGACTTCTCTTTTGAATCTTACTAAATGATAATTGAACCAATGAAAATAACAAAGAATACGTCGTCTGCACGGTTAGTGCGGTGGCTGCACAATTGGCTGTCACGCAACGTGTCGTGGGTTCGATTCCCGCACGGAACAACTCTTTGTGTGATCCACAGATTGTTGTTCCGAGTCTGGATGTCATGTTTAATGAAATTATATGTTTGTAAACGCACCCACGACACAGGAGAAAATCTTAGTGTGGGGCAACGTTTTTTAAAAAGAAAAGAAAAATAATATTCTAATGACCCATTAAGGCACATGTAAAATATTACTAGCTGAGAATTATTTTACTAGCTGACTGCGATTTGCATAATAAACAAAGATAAGATTGCAAAATGCTAAATATTTGCAACTTGAAGTTAAAATTTTAGTTCTATTCACACTGCGAGTGTCATGACTGACCTAATTTTGGACTGAAATAGCCAGATGTGTATAGATCCATAGTAGGTTAGTTATATTTATTTGTAGTAAAAATGGAACTAGATAGATAAGGTATGGTGGAGGCACCCATTGATCTACTCATGGATATACATAGAGTGCTCATAATTATCAAAAGTACACAATGACACCCAGACCCGAAACAACACTTTGTGGATCACACAAAGTGTTCTCCCGTGCGGGAATCGAACCCGCGACACGTTGCACGGCAGCCGGTTGCCCAGCCACCGCACCAACCGTGCAGTCTATTCTGTGTATACTTTGTTTTACTATTCTGTTTATTTATCTGTTCTTGCATTACGCGACAGATGATACGCGTTCCATGTTTTGTCAGATGTGATTCGACTCTAATTATTCCCATAATTATTTATTTTACCAGTTGGGGAGTTCCCCATGGTCGCGTGGGATAACAAGCCTACATATTATTCCAGATCATACTTTAAACCTGTTACTTCGTTCCAATCCTTTCAGCCATTTTGAAGTAATCCTTACTATTATAAATGGGAAAGTGAGTTTGTTTGTTTGTTTGTTCCAACTTCACGCCGTAATTACTAAACCGATTGCATTGAATTTTTGCAGACGTAAAGTTAGTAGTCTGGATTAAATAATAGGGTACTTTTTATCCCGAAAAAATTTGATATTCCCGAGGGAAAACAAAAGTATTGGTATAGATGGCGCTGTATGTATTGGTATATGTCACATAGACTACTTTTTATCCTTTTGTGACGCGAGCGAAGCCGCGGGTAAAAGCTAGTTGAGTAATAACATACACACTTTTACATATTTAAGTATTATAGAAAAATTAGCATTCGACTCTAAGGGCCAATTTTTCCAACGCTTTATCTGAAGAATGACTTTGAACATTTCACAATTGGATACTTTCCTGGGTCATAAATAAATTATTTTGATTTTTCAATCCAATTAAATATTGAAAAATAAATAATACACTTTCATTCATTGATTTGACGATATCACTCATTTTAGATTTATTCTTGCAAGTTTTTTAGAAATAAGTGTGCTCCAAGGAGCGAGTCAAGACTCGACAATATTATTATGATGACGTCATAAGTTAGTTTTACGTACAAAATTCATAGAACAATATCGTTTTTGACGTTTCTATAAAAGTATAGAATTTGACTAGTTGTCAAATGCCGTATTCTTCCACACTAAAAAATGACAAATATCAATATTTTTATTTTATACAGTTATGAATAACTGATGATTAAAAAATCGGACCTTAGTATTTTAAGTTTCACCTCTGAGGCTCTCTATCTCTTAAGGAGGCAAAATGAGATATTGTCTTGTTTTACTCAGCACTAAAATTTCATATTTTCTTGAAAGAACAGATTTTTCGATGACCAATTGTTAAAAAGTATTTTAGAGAAAGATCAAAAGATAAAGGGATATGGTATAATACAATCCAAAAGGAGCCTCCTCGAATACCATGGTTTAGTAATTTTGAAGCTAGCCGTAAGATTATAATAACATCTTTTAGAATTTGTTCCGGACATATGCCACTTAGAGCCTTTGCTTTCCTCATGAGATCTGTGGACTCTCCGAATTGCTTAGTGTGTAATAATAAAGTAGTGGATGTATATCATCTTCTGGTGGAGTGTGTCAGAAATGAATCTGAAAGGAGCAAGTTAATTTGTGAACTTAACATTAATATGTTAGATTTAGGTACATTTAATGTAATCTTGGGTCAACCAATGTCACCTGAAGCTATATTGGTGTATTCATTAGTTTATTTGTTAAATAAGGTTTCGATGGAACTGGTGTAACAATTTGTTAAAAGTTCCTTAACTCGTTGAGTACCGTCAATACAGACACAATTATAGAACAATAGGTTGCGGTCACCGGTGACCGCTTGGTGTTTGACAGTTTAAATAAATAAAAAAAAAAATTGTTAAAAACATCTGTTTTGTACAACAGTTGAAAAATAATCTGGCATACACTTCAAATGGCAGTCATATTATGTTTAAGAATAATAAAAAGCAGCTGATATCCTGGTCCATTTTTAAAGAGGTACTTTTTAATTGATGTTTTTTAATAAGTATTTCAAAATATCGAAGACTAGTTTCTGAGAGTGGCTTCGCCCACAGCTCCGGTGGATAAATGGTAGCCTATGTTATTACAGATCATAATCTGGTCCAAATTTCACCCCAATTCCTTCATCCCTTTTGAAGTGATTAACTGATTAAGTTATAAACACATTAACACAAACTTTCGCATTTATAATAGTTATGTGATATTGTAAGTTTGTAAACACACCTACGATACAAGAGAAAATCTAGTGTGGCTAACTTTTTTTTGAATTGGTATACACCAGTCATCATTTCTACCTTTAATTGCCATACAAAAAAAAAGAAAAACAAATAATCATCCCTCGAATATTACTCGGACCTGCAACCATTAGCTCGGCTATTCCACTTGCGACTTCTCTACTAATAATAACTTTTTATTATTTGTAAATTAAATAATAAAAACATAGACTTCTTAATTACTGGATACAGCTAACAGAATAGAAAGCTTTCTACCATTCTACTTCCAAAATTAACATGAATTACCTACATTTAAAAAGAAATTCATGCACTCTGTATTTGAAAAACTAGCTAAATGAGTGATTGTGTTAAGTCTTAGTAAAAGATTCTTATAAGAATGTGAAATTCAATTCTATGGCTGGAAGTAAACAAAGTTTATTACACTTCAATATATTGTAATAAAGTAAATTAAATTTTGGGGTATTGATATTGAATAACAGTGAAGGTTAAGCTTGCTTGACAAGGGCATAAGGACAGAGTGCTCATCACTGTAGGCCAGTAGGTTAGCAGCACACAAGGTAAGCACTGTAATATAAACTTTTTGCTAACTACAAACTTTTTGCTGTTTACTGCAAAGTTACTATCAACAACATTATATTGATATCTATGGTACATTCACTATGATAGTACATGCCAGTTTATGTGTCACACTAGCAAGTGTGTCAATGAAAACAGCTGATTGGTATGTGATTTACACACGTTGATACATACTCAGGGACAACTCACACAAAGGATATTAACATTTTAAATGATAAAATGTGTTTTCGTAAGTATTACCCGCTTTCATTAACATTTAATGTTAAATCGAGACATGCAAATGAAACACTTCCGACAGGATGTTACGAAATTCATATAGGTTAGTTAGTGATCAACAAAACGTGAATAATAAGCACCACCTGCAGGGGGCTCCATCCTGAGCCCAGCTGCGACTGTCGACCATTGGGGTTGTGCTGCGAGCCGCCCGACATGGTACGCGGCTCTCTAGCGGCACTGTTTACTACACGTAGTCAACACCAATCCGTCAACAAACACTTCTTCAGTCCACCATAATGATGCCGGCAAGTTTGAAGCCTTCGCCCGCGTAACTGCGCTCCCTTACGACGTGTACAGATACTTCTGAAAGGTTTTCATCAGCGCATATTAAAATATCAACTATCCTTAGGGTGCCACATGTACTCCAGGTGTAAATTAACTCACTTTCAAATGCAGTAAACACTTATTCCAAAGAAAACTTAGATTATTTAGTGCATGGTATGGTGTTCACGATTTTGATGCTCACTTCGCGTGACATTTTGAACGCATTTACGTTTTGAAATTAAGCACTTCTAGCACAAATTGAAGTTCAGATTCAGTTGCCGAACTACTGGGCACTGTATCTTACCAAATAAAACTTTATATTTCGCCGATAATTATCACAGAAAACGTAAAAATCCACTAAGTATTCAATAAAATCGCCTTCACAATGGTGGCCGATTAGGTTTTGAAAGCACATACAACGCCATCTTGTGTCAAAACTTCAAAAAGATGTCGATAAAACAGTGAAACGGAAGCATGTTTTCTTTTGTCTTTGGTGCACAAAAACACATCATGAACAGAAAAAAGCTTAGTCGGTAATCATTTAAATTATTGGCATTAAATGAACAAATAATGGTAAGGTATATTCAAAAATGTGTATAACTATTAATATTGTAGGATTCTCAAAGAAGTTAAAACATTGAATATAAATTATCGGTTTTCAGAAAACGATCCTTTTGTACTTTTTATGCTATGGTAACATTATCATAGCGTTGCTATAGCAACGATTGTTTTGTTTTCATTGTTGTTACTGCTACCATAATAAGTTTGTTGGTGTCTCACTGAATTTTAAAGTTATAACTTCAATGAAAGACAGTGAAATTACAAAGTTTTTAGTATCATTTACGGGTCAGATTGAATATGTGACTTTTCCTGGTGGTGTATTTGACGACCAATTATATGTACAGTATGAAACAGTTTGGGGACCCGACTGGGAGCCGGTTTCAGGCCTTACGACTGGATCCAGTCAAATGGCGCGTTGTGGGATTGATCCCGAACGAGTCGTTCTTAATTTACCTTTAGAAATGGTTTTTAATAGCACAAATGTGTCGGGCTGTAAGTATTTTAGCGAAGGTCGATAAGATTGCCACTTACATTGTTACTTATTAGCTTAATGTTTAGTGCTTAATGTCTAATGCTTAATGTAATAATGATGATTCTCATTTGTATCGACTAGCGACAGTCAGAGCAGTTAAAAAACAGAAACAATTTTATCCTCGTCAAAGAAGACAGGGGTGATATGGGCCAACAGGACACTGAAATTATAAAATTAAATGTCTATGTAATTTACAGGGCCACAGATAATAATAACGGTGAAGGCTCTAAACACAATCACCGGAGATGCTTTGCGAGGCTATTCTTTATTTCTGTTGCCATCTACAACTGGCCTGGGTTTGACCTCAGCGCCCCTTGTTAGACCTGTCGCAGCCACGCTACTTGGTGAATGGCTAGCCTGGATGACTGGACGGTACCCTGAACTATCAGACCCCAAAATGTTGGCTAATGGAAAAGATAATTACTGTAAGTATTTGTTATTAATATTGTTAGTGAAATTGAGAGATCTTATATGGTACGAGCTATTGAATGCTATAAAAACTTGCTTTATTATTTTGTCAGTAGTTCAATAAATATATATATATTTTATATTGTTCCTAGTGCTAAGGACGGAGTCTTACGGTAGTGTGACAGTTTCCTTGTCTATGGTGTCGAAAGATCTACGGAAATTAGGTTATGATAATCAACCTCCTATTTATAAATTGGTTGCTGATTTTTAGTGAATGCTTGCAAGTGCATTTAAAAATTAAAATAATTTGATAATCGTTGAACTTGATCGTAAGTGATGCCATCTAGTGAGCATATAACTCATTACCAGTTTACTAGTCAAAAGTTAAAACAAACAGTGGTCTATCATATGAATATTTTTAAATAAAATGCTTCATTGAAACCATATTTTTATTTCTATTCCTGACAGCTGGGGCCTTTGTCTGCTGCCTCGTTGTATTCACTGACGAGATGGTCATATATCTATTTATTCCGTTATAATTTGTCCTAGATAATTATGGTAATGGAGACGCATCTTAATTACTAAGTGAAAACCTTGCCAGTTGCCCGCATGATTGATAAGTATCTAATTATTACGAACATATTTTTAACTTCATTGTCATATTGCGTTTGAAGAGATGCAGATTGTTGCACTGAAAGATTAGAAAAAAATAAGCTACAGAAGGTTGATAGGTTATTGTTTATCGAAAAATGTCTAACAGCGTACAATATGAAGTTTGAACTTATAGTTCAAAGTTGGTGACTCAATTAACATGTTCAGTCAGAACAGTACATCGCTGCAGTATTCAGAAAAATCACATTGGTTTGTTATGTCTTACAACATTGGGTTAAATATTTAGAGAAGAAATCCCCATTCATCATCATCATCATCATCATCTTCTCATATCAGCCACAAGACGTCTACAACCACAGTTATATTAAAGAATTTTTAATATTTCTGTGTCTACAACGCTGAACATAGGCTCCCTAACCAAGGCCTCGATCTACCACTTTATTGCGGCAGGTCCTACCACGAAGAAACCATTGCAGGCTGATTTTCTTCCTCGAGTGGCGCGCGTGGAACACAACGTTAGCGCCTAGGTACTTCCGCCCATACAGCAGGAGGGAGGTCGCAGATCTGGTTTGACTTCTTAGCAATATCCAATGCTCTTTGAGTGCCAAGTATTAATATTGACATGGTCTTTTCGGATCGGCTACCACCTCCCCAGTATATATCTCAATGTCTCAGAATATTTATTTTAGTTATAGTGGGTGAAGCACTATATACCTATGTACTTACTTAGTCAAGAATAATTCTCGATGTGCAATCTCAAAGTAGAGTTATCTTTCTCTTATCTTTATTCTTCGTAGATAATCTTGTTCTAGGTTTGTAGGAAAACATTTAAATCGTGCTAATATAGTTTTATGGCGGTTACAACGTGGATACATATTTACTTTTATAGGTATGTGTAATTAATTTTCAGTACAAATATGTATGTAGGTACTTAGGTTTTTTTTTAAGGGGGGAAAATCATCGAATGACTGCTCCCGCCTGGGTGAGGCGGGAGGGAGTGTCAGACTCTTACTGACTAAAAACCTTCCCGTTCCTTCTCCTGCACGTCGAGGCGGAGCCCCGGTTACCCGTTAGGTTCTCCGCGACAAGTACTTAGTTTAGGTACCTACAAACAGCTGAAACGATCTCAATTAAAAATCTGTGCATTTAAATCGATTTTTTGCAAATTAATTTGATTCTCAATTGAGATAGATTGTTAGTTATATGGTCTGATAGTTTCAGTCTTTTAGTATCTGTTCCGGTATAGAAATAATTTGTGAAAAATTCATTATTAATTAATATTTATGGGATCCGTGGGTTAGTACCTACTTGTTTGATTACCGCCATGAGATCTGAACGCGCCGCGGTCCACTCGCGTCTCATAAAGCCATCAGACCACCACAGATGGGGCCTAGTAGGGTCGATGCCTGACCGAGCTTGTGGATGACTTTACCGGTTACCGAGGCTACGGCACGAAGCAGAAGTTGGAACGGGATGATTTTTAGCTGAGAGGTCGTTAGTTGCATTGTAATAGATAGTAATTTATATTTCTATGATCGGGTCAGTGGCTGGGTGAGCGACTGCTATGCAATGTGCCGAATGTTCGATTCCCACGTAGCACCCTAATTGTTATTCCGGGTGTAGGTAGGTAAATGAGAAAGTGTTTATTAGTCCACCTCAGACATGTGACATACTTATGCAGTAGTTACCTTAAGGATAAAGGCAAAAAGTATCAAATAGATAATCTAATCTAGAGAAACAGGTACCTAGGTATGGTAAGTAGGTACTAAGTAAGTACCTCCTATAAATAGTGCCTACGTGCATATTTGACGCAAGTGATGAGTAAGAAATATATAGTAAGAATATTATTTTGCTAGTAAGGTCCTTGTTCCTTTGAAATTGTTTTTTTTTAACTGACGTCTGTGTGACTGTACGGCTGATGCAGTAAGCTGGACGGTTGAGAACAACAGCTGAGAAAAGTATCTATCTTTATATATTATATACTTATATAATTCTTCTGTGAGTGTCTACTGAACTTCTCTCAAACGACTGGACCGATTTTGATGAAATTTTTTATGTGTGTTCAAGGGGATCTGGGAATAGTTTAGATTCACAAATCAGCCTGGCAGATGGCGCTGCAGTCGGTTTCTAGGTTAGTTATCCCAAACGGCTGAACTAATTTGAATGAATTTTTGTTTATACATTCAAGTGAATATGCAGGACAACGTCTGTTGGGTTAAATACAAGAGCTATTAAATCACCTAATAGCCCAGTCATTTTAGGGGTAAACCTCGGAATGAAAGATAATAAGCTATAAATTGGTATAAACCTTTGTTTTGTCGTTCTAAATGTTGTCTCAAAAGTCACAAATGATACCGTGTCCGCGTCTTAAGATATTGAAGGGCAAAGGTCATAAAAACTGATTTTTCGTGAATATCTCGCTTTTTATTGCTTAAATGATATTTTTACCTATAATAAAAGTTGTAGAGTATAAAATTCTCTACAATTTTTGTATTGTGTTTTTTTTAGTACGATCAACCGTTTTTGAGGTAGAGCGCGAAGAGTGCGCAGCGCACAGTCATATATGGTCCAAAGCAAGGTAAAGCGTGAGTTACGGTTATCGTACTGATAACCGTAACGTATTCTTATAATATTTAAACTGACATTTCAACAAATGTATAATTTGGCATATTTAATGTTAAATAAAGATATGCATAAGAT